ATAAAAGCATGTTGTCTTGAGACTGATTTAGAGAATTTCGGTGAAGTCGGTGATTTATTAATGATTGGTGATAAAGGTGTCAATTTGAGTGGTGGACAAAAGGCTCGAATATCGCTTGCTCGTGCTCTTTATGCTGATGCTGATTTATATTTACTTGACGATCCACTTGCTGCCGTTGATCGGAAGGTGGCAAAGAAAATTTTTGATCAATGTATCGGTCCACGCAGTCTACTTCGTGGAAAAACTCGAATATTAGTTACACATCAGACACATTTTTTAGTTGAAGCAGATCAAATGATTCTCTTAACGAATGGTCACATTGACGAATTACATATTGAACAACCACTTCCAATTGACCCATCGAATGATACGTTAGAAACAAATTCATCTAACGAGAAGGAAACAGATTGGAAACTTGACACTAATACAACTGATATGAATTCAATTATAAAGACTGAGACATCAGTTGATGGTGGCATCAAATGGAATATTTGGCTACAATTGTTTACTTCGCCACCTCTCCGTTGGTTAGGCTTTTTTCTTATGATAATTTTTATGCTTGCGAATGAAGCTCTATACGATTTTGCAAATCGTTGGCTCGCTATATGGTCTGGTAAAGATGAAAACGAACAACGATCTTCATTTTATGCTTACGTCTATCTTGCAGTTATATTTTCTACATTGATCATTGCATTAATACGTGTCGGTTTTACTTTCTTTGTCATGTTAAGTGGATCGACTTATTTTCACAATCGAATGCTTAACGGTATGTTGTATACTTCACTACGTTTTTTTGAAAGTAATCCAAGTGGACGAATATTGAATCGAGCAAGCAAAGATCAACAAGTATTAGATGAATCGTTACCTCAGGCTGTGATTGATACTATGCAAAATCTATTAATGACTTTCGGTTCTATTACAATCATTGGAATAATCAATCCATGGGTACTTCTAATTCTTATTCCTTTGGTTCCTACAGTTTTGTGGCTACGTCGATTTTATATGCGTTCGAGTCGTCAACTTAAACGACTCGAAAGTGTAACGCGTAGTCCATTGTATGCATTGTTCTCATCGTCATTAGATGGTCTTACTAGTATTCGTGCGTTTAACGTTCAATCCAATTTCTTAAATATGTTTTTGGAAAGAATCGATGCAAACTCACGAAGTTACTTCGTTCTGTTTACCACTGCACGTTGGTTTGGTTTACGACTCGATCTTATGACATCCTTACTGACTTTAATTACTGCTGTTCTGGCAGTAGCATTGCGTGATCAAATCGATCCGTCAGCAGCAGCACTCAGTATTAGCTATTGTATCACTTTAACAGGTCTCTTTCAATGGGGTATACGACAATCAGCCGAAGCTGAAAATTTTATGACCAGTGCAGAACGTATTCATGAATATGGTCAACTAGTACCAGAAAATTATCAGAACAGTAATAAAAGCGATGTATTTCTTCAACCAGCAAATGATTGGCCTTCTCGTGGTATTATAGAATTTAAAGACTATACTTTTCGTTATCGACCAGAACTCGATCCTGTACTCAAAAATCTTAATCTAAGAATTGAGCCCAAGGAAAAAATTGGAATTATTGGTCAAACAGGTATGATTATTTCATTTTTAAGACTATTTTAAATGTTATTATTTGACTGGTACGTATAGATTTTCGGCTTTCTCTTTAGGTGCTGGAAAGTCATCACTTCTTCAAGCTCTATTCCGACTTGTCGATCAATCAGCAATTAGCGGAAGCATTCTCATCGACGGTATCGATATTGGACATCTTTCACTCGATTGTCTTCGTTCTCATTTAAATGTTATTCCACAAGTACCTATACTTTTCTGTGGTACACTTCGATACAATATTGATCCATTCGAACAATTTTCAGATGAAGAATGTCTTACAGCACTTGAAGCTGTTCAACTCAAACAATTGGTGTGCAATCATCCTGATGGACTCCTTCTAACGGTAGCCGAATCGGGTACTAATTTGAGTGCTGGTGAACGACAATTGATTTGTGTAGCCCGAGCCATTCTGAAGAAGAGTCGTATATTACTTATTGATGAGGCTACTGCAAATGTTGATTATACAACCGATAGGATGATTCAAGAGGTTATTGCTGACAAGTTTCGTGATCGTACTATATTAACGATTGCACATCGATTGAATACAATAGCAAATAGTGATCGCATACTTATGTTACAACAAGGAGAAGTAATTTATTTTGATGTTCCTAAGAATATCGACCTATTTCAAGGTGATACACAAAACTAACTTAGTTTTTATAACTGTATGACATCGATTATTGTATTGATGAATAGTTTTGTCATTTACTATCTTCGCCAGCATATTTAAACCCCTCCCCCTCCCATTAAATGGTCATTCATTAATTTGTTAGTTAATTATTAAATTACTTCATTTTTCGAGAAATAACTTCGTATTTTGCCATTCATAGCATATATTTATAGTAAAACGGCAGTTTTTCCGTAAACAATATTTGGAAAACTATCTTGATGGTAGGTAATCGAAATTGATCAAGCATTAAAGTATAACAAAGTTGAAAAATTGAAAATGTTGTCGTATAAAAATCAATGAATTTGTAACAGTTGTCTGCTAATAATCGAACATATGATCGATATTTCATTGAACTAAAACTTCTCATTACTTCAACATGAGTTAAATATTTCCAAATAATTAACAATCAAATCCTCCATCTACTTTGTGTTAGTAGAATCTATTTCAGAACTAAAATTGAATTAAATCTATGTCATAGACACAACTTTCGATGGTGTGGGTGCGTATGATACATGTCTTCACCCACATTCTCACTCTTCCAGATTTGACTCAAATCTTCATTTTGACATTATATTTTGTCACAAACTAAACATTTCGAAGAAGAAACAAGAGAAGAATTATCAAAATTTTACCGATATTGATCGTCTTAATTCACCAGCAACAATGGGTTTTTCGAAAAAAATATTTTTTAAGCTAAATTGAGATAAGTTCATTGTTTATTTTCATAAATTATTTTATTTTGTAAATCATGTTTTGTCAAAATTTAAAATATTCAGTTTTACAGAGCTTATTACGAAATTAATAGGTTGTTTTATTAAAGCAGAGTTCAAATTTTTGAATTCGATTATTTGCAGAATCGCTAACATAAAGATTTCCTTCAGCATCAAATGATAAATCCATGGGACCATTCAGTTCATCGAATTCTTGCTCTTGGTCCTTTCCACCTACAACGATAGAACCTTGTTTATCTCCTTCACATCAACGCATTATTCGATGATTATCGTGATCTGCGACATAGATGAGACTCAAATTGTCAACAAACACTCCTCGAGGATAATGCAGTTGGTTACGATCATAGTGCCAATTGATGGTTGTAAGTTATTCATTATTGAAGTTGATACAACAACGACCATACCTTATCCAGTCGATTCATTTACATTAAATGTTGCTCAACGTTGTTCGTTCTTGTGTAACTTGACCGACTTAGATCCAACTTATAATGCATCCCGTGTCAAGTCAATTTATATACGAATACAAGCTACTCTTTCGGTATATCCTCAAGACGTTACTAGTTTTATTCCTCCTTATGAAAATCAGTGTTATCCTTATCCAACTTTCTACAATCCATTGTATCTTGCATTTTTATCACTTGATTCAACAAACTCAACACCAACATATCTAGCTACATTAGCAACTCCAATCCTATCGAATGTTACTCCTCCACTAGATACAAATATTCTAGATGCACGACCTCTATTTCGAAATGCAAATGGAGTTCCGAATGCAACTCATTATTTAGCTATTGCGGTTGGATTTGGTGTAGGACCAAGTGGATTCGGTGATGCAACAGTGAATGGCGTCTCATATAGTTCAGATGCTAATTATATGCATATGAGAGATGATCCACCAACGGGATTTACTTCAGACTTATATGAACCATTACTCTATCAAATGGTAAGAAAGACTAATCAATTAGCAATTTCATCACCTCTTCTGGAGGCAGGAAACGACTTGCCAGTCATTCAAAGTGATGCAAATGGACATTATTTAATCCCTTACCTAGCTTGTGTTGATATTTATATAACCAACCCGATTGGTGGTGAACATCCGTTTCATTTACATGGCCATAATTTTTGGATTGTTTCAACATCGGACTATCCCGAAGCTGAGTTCCTGTATGCCGAAGACTTTATGCAACGTGATACTGTGAGTGTGCCAGCAGGCGGTTGGGCTAAAATCCGATTTGTAGCCGATAATCCTGGTGCTTGGTTCATGCATTGTCACATTGAATGGCACATGGCAGATGGACTAGCAGTAGCTTTAATTGTTTCACCCGACCAGCTTTTGACTAATGGTTATACTATTCCACAAAGTGGACAAAGACAGTGTGAAGCACTACAACGATTCAATACGACTTATGATCCTGTAATACCCTCAAATTAACTAATAAGAACAACAATTTATATTTTATAAAACTCTTCATTTTTTTTCAACAGAAATGTGTACCAATTTAAATATTAATCTATGTATTTTCTTAATATAGTTTGATACTTTTCAATAAATGATATTCTTAGTAATAATTTTGTCTGATGAAAAGAAACAATTCATAGAGTATATTACATTCAAAACTAGTGCGAGGAGGTAATACTCTTCGCTTACCTCACTTTCATCTTTAACATGATGTTGATATCATGAAATCTTTACGGTATTTACTAACAATACTCCAAACTATTCCGATTTCTTGATGAAGTTCGTAACGAAATCGAACTGCATCAGAATAACTTTACTATACATAAATCTTTAAGAATTTTACTTGGTCAATATTCTTATCTGGTGCACTGATTCATGTTATAATGTGCAAGGAAGGACAAAAAAAAGTCTTTTTTCTGTGTTTCATCCTTAATAAAACATTTTCTTCTCTTATCAGTATCATATTATTTGCACTAATCAACCACCACCACACTCAGCGAGTGTGAGGTTGATAGATTCTTATCAACATCCACCTATCTGCCATCCTGAGGGTATGAGTGAATGCAGGGTAAGAGAACCAAGATTCACACCTACACCCACACCCTGCAATATTATCTCTTTTTTTTTAAATATATTAATCAATTTATTCCTAAATTATTGACTCATATTCTATTACTTAACAAAATCGTGTATTTATGAAACATCTTTCATTGAACCATCTAAAAAAATCAATTCATTAATTTCTAGTTCATATCAGACTTTATCTTTAATCTAATTTCAATCATTATAATATGGATTCATATAATATTATTACAAATGTAGATTGAACTCTTCTTGCTGAATCTGTGACATCGAAAATAATTTATTTTAACTTCATTTCTCCTTGAGTTTATCAATGAATATTGAATATTAATATCTATTACTTTGGTTTCTCTTTAGCTGTACTTAGTTTCATCGTTACTAATCATATCGTTTACCTTATTCAATCAGTAGATCTAAACAAATCGAGTATATTTCTATATTTTATTTAGAAAAAAAAATTAATTATTTAAATGTACATATTGTCCATCACCTCTAACATGAAAAGATTCAGTTCTTTCAGCAACATTAAGTCCTGCTATTCGATAATGTAATTCAACATGAGCAGCAGCTATTGGATCTTCACGTGTACCAACATTTTGTACAGATGCTATTTGAACACTTGCATTAAATACAAAACCCCATGAAACTGATATACGTGATGGAATAATTGTAACACGATCTAAATAAGCACCTTTACCATCTAATGAACCTCCATATGTAAATTGTAGTGCATAAGTAAATTGTAGAACACGTTGTTTTAAACGATTATAAACATTAACAGTAAAAGAATGTGAAGCAGGTGGTGATGTCCATGTTTGAAGTTCAAATGGATCAGTTATATGAGAAGGTATTACATTACCATATGATGTTTGAACATCAACAACAGCACGGCTAAATAATCAAAAATAAATAAATAAAATAAAATAATTTTCATTAATTTCACTTGTTATCAACAATAGACCATGCTTGACGAGCATTATTTATTATTGCACTGATTCTGTCGGTTGGAGAACCTGAAGGTGATGTATGTAGTAGGGTTCGAGGTTGAGCTTCGAAATCTGTATCTAATGTTAAATAAAGAAATGATCCAATACCAATAGCAATGGCTAGAACCACTAAAGAAACTGTTGATTTTAATGAAGGAAGTGGCAATGGAATCATCTTTTTTCAACTTTCTTCAATATTCACAATCTGAAATAGAAATAGTGTCATAGAAACTTATCTTATATTCATTAGTCAAGAAAAAAAACATCATACACCTGAATGGATGACTCAAACGAATAGTTCGTTGACACGTATAAAACACGCAAAGAATCATTTACTTTCAAAGCAAGATAATACAAAAATATAACTAACAAAAATGAATGTAATATAAATGAACTGAAGAAAATAAAAAATTTATTTTTTATTATTTGCACTTCTTCAATTTTGACTTATTAGATTTTTATAAAAATTCTTATATTAACCTTGAAAATTATTATTTATTTCTTCTTTATTACAATAATCTAAATTCTATAAATTATTCTAAACTTTCTAAATCAAACATAATCATATTTTATGATTATTTTTCTTTATCAGAAACAACTGAAACATAAAAGAATTCTATAAATACTATAAAATCGTTTAAATAAGTACTGGTGACCTCTTCCGAATATTTTATTTCTCAATACTTCAGTTTATATAAATATGAATTAGAATTAACCTTTTATTTGTTAATAATGTTTTATTTCAATTAATATTTACTCATAAAAGTTAATTCGAAAATTTTCACTTAACTATAAAGAATAAAATCATCTCACTAGTATTTATCTTACCTTAGACTAAATTAATAGTAAAAGACAAATAACAAGTCCATGTTTTATTTTTTTTTCTCATTCTATTTAAATATATATATAAAAGTAAAAATGATATCAAAATGTTAAATAGATCAGCATTGAAGAGAGAAAATCTCGATTTATAAAACTGAACAATTATAGAATTTAATGTAGTCAAGTTTTAATGACGATTAAGTCTATTTAAGTTCTTACATAGAACAGTTCGATTTGACATTAAACTAAAAATGAACTTCTTCCAGAATCTTTTCAAGAAGACAATGTTAATACTCATTTATGCATTTGAAATTTCTACGAAAAGATGATCATGTCATACTTTGTTAAGATTACAGAATTAAATTCAATAGAAAAAATTCTTTTGGATTATAATGATCGACTTGATGTGTCTATAAAGATATATTTCTTAAGATTTTCATTAGCAAAAAAAATCGTATAAACTATTAAATAAAAATAATAACAAAAACTAATTCTTGTCACATTTCTGATGTATTATTCTGAATGATTAATTTAAGAATATTTCTAATAAAATATTCTCATTCATATAATTTACATACCATCATAAAATCATTTTATCTTTTTGAAATATACATTCTTCATTATTAATTGTATTTGTACATGTCTACGTGTTATTTATTTCATATGATTAACTCTACAATTACAAAAATAAAAATATTTTAATTGATTTTTTATAAAAAAAAAAGAAATAGTAAATTCTATCAATGAATCGTATAAACTGATCGAATAGCTGAATATAAATGACGGATTAACTTTTGAGAATAATTTATTCGGATTGATTGATGAGCAAGTATTTGAATAATATATATATCACGTACAGATAGCAAATGATGGAAGATTTTTCAATAGAACTAGAAACATTAATAACCAGTCTTGCTTTTTACATGTTCGAACTTCTAGTACGTGTAATAACAAGAAAAAAAGAGATTAAACTACTGATTAAAAAAGTCAGATGACTAGTTTCATATTCATAAATATCAGTATTGGACTGAAGAAAAAAATGATTATTTTATTAAACAGAAAGATTCTAATCTAAAATAGGAATTTGTTTTTTTTTTCATTAAACTGTTCACATAATGTTTTTTCTTTATTATGCACAACATGGAAATAAAAAGATAATAATACTGTACAATAGAACAATATATAATGATAATAAAAATACCCTTCACTAACTCTCAACATGAGCAAAACTATAAAGAAGAAGAAGCATAAAATCAATTAAAAAAAATTCTAATCAATAGAAGTTTTTTGTTTTAAAAATTGAATAAAAGTTTAATGATGTTGATGTTTAATACCTTTGACAAGATTTGTCAAAAGTTCATTTGTATCAGTTGTTGATAATGAATTATTATCTTTAGTTTTATTTGAAATAAATCGATTGGATTTTTCACGAAGTTCAGATGATGGAAATTTATATAAAAATGTTCCTAGAAAAATAATTCAAATAAAATTTTATTTTTCTAATAAATAATTCTAACCTTGTTCATCATAGAGAACATGTTTAAGCATCGTATTCAGATTTGAATCTGATGGTAATTGATATTGTTTTCCCGATGATCGACATTCTATTAATTGTTTAAGCCATTTTTGAATAATATCTGTTTTGATTTTATCCGATGAACTTTTAAAAAAATCTTCTAAAAATCCATTGTCACATTGAAGTTTTTCATATTCATAAGCTAAACAAAAATTTTCAAAAAAAAAATTTTTTAAAAAAAACAAATGTTACCTTGTAAAAGCATATCAAATATATCTAAATCTTTAACAAGAGTAGCTTCATTAGTTTTTTGATCGGCATATTCATTAAAAAGTGAAAATATTTCTCTTCCAACATCAGCTGGTAATAAACTTGTTAAATAAAGCATCGCTTCACTTTCTCGTCGATGTTTTTCACTTTTAGGTATACCATCAAATTCAGTTAAATCTCCAACAACAGATTCAGCTAAATCATGTACAAGTGCTAATTTCATACAACGAACTTTCGATTCTTCAGCTACAGTTGGTAATAAAAGTGACATAACAGCCATTCGATACATATGATCAGCTACACTTTCAACTTTTTCGACACCATGTAATACCCAACCTGTACGAAATGTTCGTTTTGCTTGACCAACATAAAGAAGAAATTCCAAAACACCATCCATATCACAACTCATCTTGATATTAAGTTATTTTCGAAATGACATTTCATATACAAATTTTTTTATGACTTTATTCGACGAACCAATAGAAAAATTTTTTTATTACTTTTTAAGAAATAAATTTATTAATTTTTAGTAAAATTTTGTTTTTTTAAATAAGATTTCGAATATTTTTAATTAACCTTGACGAAAATAATACGACATCTATAATGTTATTCATTGCAAATAATATTATTAGTTAATTAACAAATCGATTTTTTTGTATAATAAATAAATATTTATATTTTATTTAAAATTAATAAAAATTTGCAAAGAGATGAAACCATGGTAACGGAAGTAGAAGAACGTTAAAAATGATAGAAATAATAATGATCAATGAATCATGAAACTTCTTTAAATATAC